AAAAAATTTAAAAAAATAATAAACCAAGGGTAGAACATGAACCGCGCTCGGCCCATGGCCGCGCGGTTAACAAACTTATTTTAGAACATTTGCACTTGAGACAGGATAATCAGATTTATTACCCGACTATATATGCTTCATTTGACCATAAAAGGTTGCGGTGGTGGACATTTTATCTTGCAGTATTTCGGTAATTTTAATCTTGAAATGCGGTAAATTTATTGCGGTATTCTCCGAACCTGCGGGATACGTTTTCTATCGCATTATGGACGGTATTAAAAATTATCTTTCAAGTCCTATAGCGTTTTCAGAGCCTTTCGCAGTTTCCGATTGGAGATTCCCAATGAAACTTAGCTCTCGTGTAACAGAAAACTCCAATTCTTAATTGCTATATTTGCTCTAAACTTAACATACAAAGTAGTGGTTTAGGTAGGAGACCGAGTTTCTACTGGGTATTGAAGTATTGCGGTATTTGGCGATTTTTTTGGGATATTGCGCTACTTGCCGAATTATTTTTGCGGTGTCGCGGTGTCAAGAAAGGATAAAAAGAAAATGCAAACTACCACATCATAACACACAATAGTATCCTGAAGCAATGTGAACGTGAACCTTCACAACAATGACTTATCGGGAACCATTAAGCTTATACGTTTTCGTAAGTCGTGAACATAGATCCACTTGCAGTGTGGATTCTTTTGATTCATAATCCATTCATGGATTCTAGAGAGCAAAAGCAAAATTTCTTTCAGGATTCTAAGATCCGGATTTGGATTTCCCTCTCCCCAAACCTAAAGGAACCTTTACAAACCAAATCAACAGGTCCATGGATCCTTCGACAAACAGTTTAGTAGAATTTCCGCTTTGTTTAAATAGTATTCCAATAATTTCTACCGTTTCTACCGCTGTTACCGTGTCTCTCCGCTTTAAGATTTTTGTCCCCGTCTAGCTCGTGTCGATGTTGTTAATAGATGACTGTTGAGTCAAAATGAAATTAATTTACCAACAATAATTCCGGTAACTAATAACCTTTCCCTTATTTTAGTTAGCGATGCCAATAAATGTGCTAACGTTTCAGAATTTCGTTTTACAAGCGTTCCTCTTGCTTACCTTTTTGCTGAACGGAAAACTTTCCTTCAGTTGAAAATGTTTCCCCTCGATCGCAGTCAGCAAGAAGATACAGCTGTGATCCTCAAAACGCGATGTGTTTCTGCATGAAAGTCAAAATGAAATCGATTTACCAACAATAATTTCGGCGACGTATAACGTTTCCCTTTTTTACTTAGCGATGCCAATAAATGTCCTTACGTTTTATAATTTCTCATTACAAGCGCTCGTCCTGCTTACCTTTCAGCTGAAACGGAAAACTTTCCTTCAGTTGAAAATGTTTCCCCTCGATCGCAGTCAACAAAAAGATACAGCTGAGATTCTCAAGAGGCGATGTGTTTCTACATGAAAGTAAAAATAAAATCAATTTACCAACAATAATTTCGGCAACTAATAACGCTTCCCTTTTTCAGTTAGCGATGCCAAATGTGCTCACGTTTCATAATTTCTCATCACAAGCGCTCGTCCTGCTTACCTTTCAGCTGAACGGAAAACTTCCCCTCAGTTGAAAATGATTCCTTTCGATCACAGACGCCAAAAAGATACAGCTGTGATCCTCAAAAAGCGATGTGTCTGCATGAAACAAAGAATATCGTTGCTGTATCGAGCGAATACAATGTGTATTGCAAAATGAACGACCGATTACATGTCGTCTAGACAAACTGTACAAAGTCACGCGAAGTTGATAATTCCTGACTATGCTCTTCCCATTACCCGGGTTGTCAGTAGCAAGAATGATTCTTCATAACTTTTCCAGCTCGTAAGCAGTTAGGAACCTTCAGGAATCCCTTTTAGCATTGCTACAATAGTACACTGACAGCCGCTCCCCGTACCGAGGGTATTTGCGACGATTGATCATGAGATCGAAATCGATTGATCACGAGATCGACAGCACCCATGCGGAAACTGGAATACAACGAGACAATTGTATTATCACGAGATCAAAACCACTGGAATTCAAATCAACAATAGATTTGTCTGGCGTAATGGGGCGTAATCTTTCAACAAACTAGTCTCCTTCGCAGCCGTTATTAGGGTCGTCACGCAACGCTCCTCCCCACTAACGGCCGTTAGTGGGNGAGGAGCGTTGCGTGACGACCCTAATAACGGCTGCGAAGGAGACTATCAACAAACTTGATTCATACCAAGTGGATTGAGGTGAACTCGCGTCATACATTTCAGGAAAAAAGCCTTCGTTGCATGTGCGCAATGCTCTCAGGTTGAACCTACGTTAATTACAGATGTAAATTTACTTGCTAGTAACCCGCGGTAGGTAGAGTCTGTGACGGAAGCCGTCGGTCGAAGATTGATAAGGATTATTGCTACAATTGTAGCTATGAGCTCTTTTCGCTTGCCGCATTTCGCTCGCGCCTTTCTCCTATACCCTGGCCACGGCGTAACACCTAAGAACCTTCGAGCCTGTTCATAGCCCATTGAAAGGAGGGAGACCGATGCTGTCATTGGAAGGCGAGCAAACTTCAATTGTTTAACTGTAGCGTGACATGTTTCGTGCAAAATGTCACACTCACGACCTTCACAGACCATAGATTAGCAATATCCATGATTAGGAAAAATTATCAGGAAATATACGTGATATCTGAAATAAAACAGACAGTTGTTGATTATGTTGTTTACAGTACCTCCACAACAACTCACCCCACCCCTCCCTGGATCCCACCCCCAACATGGAAAGACAAAATGTGCGCTGTGAAGACTTGGCACCCTCCCCCTAGGCCCCAGTCCCACCCTGATAGTCTCCTCCGCAGTTGTTTTTTCGGGATGTCTGCATGCGTGACATCCCAAAAACGGCTGCCAAGGAGACTACCACCCTGGTGGAAATTCCAGTTTTATAGCTTCTTCCTTTCCTTTAAAAATATTGATGTTTGCAATCCCCCACCCCCCTACCAATTGCAAGTGACCTTTCATGGAGTGGGTATGGATATTTTCTGGAACTGCACATTCTGACCTTTAATTGGTCACCACAGACAGTTGTGCACAATACACAAAATACTTTATCAAATCAAACAAATCATCAAATTTTTATTAGTGATGTACATTGCCATAACATTTATTTCTTAAAATGTCTTGGATTGTATTGTACATGAAGACAGTGTCATCCAGGTGATGACGTGATCTACTTGACAATGACAATGATGTAAGCAGGAGAATTAAGACATTGAACACTTCTGAAATTCAGCACGGCACAGGATCATTTAAGTCTCCCCAGTAATGAACTTCATTTGTACCCATTACACAGCCTCTAACTAATGGATCCATTCTTCCACCATACAAACCAAACACTCCTCCTAAAAAGGGAAAATATTCATAATACAGCAAATGAACTCGTAGTTGAGAGTTGTTTGTTTTGAAGCAGAACAACAGAACTACATCTGGCAGACTTCAGTTTTCATTACTGGCCATGCAGTGTTCCAGATTAGGGGATCTCAGGTCAAAAACGTATCATGATTCAGTACCAGGCAAATCTAAGTCAACACTTGATACTCAATACTTCTGAGAATCAAGTATTGAGTTGAGTCTCAATTTCCTTGAAGTGCGACTCCATTCTCGATGCTCAATTCTTGCAAAATTCAACACACTGTAACATTCACAGTTGCATGGCCTGTGTTTTACACATTAGAGAGAAACTCTGCAAGAATACTCAAAACAAGACATCAAAAACATTTATGCAATGAGGAACATACAGCATAGCATGCAATCATTGTTTGAGGGACTAAATATGAAACTTCAGGAAGAAAAGATGAATATTAAAAGCCAAGTGAAACGCTGCTGAAATGATACATTGATTCACTCGATTACTTCAGTTCCTTGTAGAATTAACTTAAAGGAGGTCACTCCAAAAAGCTTACTTTTTTTGTACTCGCCAATAGCACATAAACATTCAGCTTTTCCCTCACCGAAGTTTCAGCCTCTGAAGTGCCCGCTATGCTGATGAAATTTGTCTCGAAAGACGCAACTTCGGAAGCAGCCATTTTGAAACTGTCTTGGCAGCCAGGCTGTGTTTATGTGAAGTCATTCTGTCCGACTTGAAATTGGCAGGAAGGAGAAAAACCTGCAACTGACCTGGCATCAGGAAAATCTATCTTTTTCAAGCGATTATCCACTTCACTATCTTCGATGTTATCATTTTAGAGTTTGGAGCATGTTTGGCTCAAAATAATATGGCTCAAGAGCAGCTATAACCCAGAGTGGTAGTTAAAA